CCCCCTTCGACCTCGTAATTTATCGCACAAGAAATTCGCCGGCCCCCTTCAAGTAAAAACCGAGGGGTAAACCTACTAAAAGAGAACCCTGGGCCCAGGCCCTTTCCGGGAAAAACACGCCCCTCACAAACACACACACACACAAACACAAACACACACACACACACACACCACCATCACACACACACACACACACACACACACGAACACGCTCTCACAAACACACACGCACACACACACACACACACACACTCCCCGACACTTTCCTCCGACGCGCCAATGAGTCCCAACCAGTGGGTGCATGATGGGGGGGTTAGCTACGGCGCAGCAGTCCTGAAACCTTCCGAACATGATGGACCCACGAACCCGGAAAGGGATATAGACATGTGGAGCATGGACACGTTTTCACGATACCCAACTGGGCAACACCTCACGAAACATCCCACGAGACACTTCACGAAACATCCCACGAGACACCTCACGAAACATTCCACGAGACACCTCACGAAACATTCCACGAGACACCCCGCGAAACATTCCACGAGACACCCCACGAAACATTCCACGACGACAGGCAACCACTCAACCAAGGCGGTGTGGTCGTGCTGGGGAGTGGTCGTGCTGGGGTGTGGTCGTGCTGGGGGGTGGTCGTGCTGGGGGGTGGTCGTGCTGGGGGGGTGGTCGTGCTGGGGGGTGGTCGTGCTGGGGCGTGGTCGTGCTGGGGCGTGGTCGTGCTGGGGCGTGGTCGTGCTGGGGTGTGGTCGTGCTGTGGTGAGGTCGTGCTGGGGTGTGGTCGTGCTGGGGTGTGGTCTTGCTGGGGTGGGGTCGTGCTGGGGTGGGGTCCTGCTGGGGTGTGGTCGTGCTGGGGTGTGGTCGTGCTGGGGTGGGGTCGTGCTTGGGTGGGGTCGTGCTGGGGTGTGGTCGTTCTGGGGTGTGGTCGTGCTGGGGTGTGGTCGTGCTAGGGTGGGGTCGTGCTGGGGTGGGGTCGTGCTGGGGTGTGGTCGTGCTGGGGTGTGGTCGTGCTGGGGTGTGGTCGTGCTGGGGCGTGGTCGTGCTGGGGTGGGGTCGTGCTGGGGTGGGGTCGTGCTGGGGTGTGGTCGTGCTGGGGTGGTCCGCACCCTGTGATTTATCGATCGGGTCGTGCTGGGGTGTGGTCGTGCTGGTGCTGGGGTGTGGTCGTGCTGGGGTGTGGTCGTGCTGGGGTGTGGTCGTGCTGGGGTGTGGTCGTGCTGGGGTGTGGTCGTGCTGGGGCGTGGTCGTGCTGGGCGTGGTCGTGCTGGGGTGTGGTCATGCTGGGGGTGTGGTCGTGCTGAGGTGTCCCGCACCCTGTGATTTATCGATCGGGATTTCAAAAACAAGCGTTTCGCCTGAGACATCCTCAAATTTTAATCCGCCGGCCTCCTTCGACCTCGATATTTATCAGGGAAAGAATCCGCCGGCCTCCTTCAAGTTGGGCACCGGGGACATGTTTACATAGAAAAAGAAAACCCTGGGCCGCAACGGGGCAGAAGTGCCAGGCGGCGCAGGAGCTGGCAGGCGCAGGCGAAGGCGGAACGCCAACAGCCGGCACGACCGGGGGGAGCGGGGGGCCACCGCTGAGCGGCGCTGGGTGGTCGATCGGCCGTGGCGGAAATTAGGCGCGTATGCAGGCAGCGCCACTGGCAGGCAAAGCCAAGTAGGGGCGGCAGAGGAAGCAAAAGTGCAGGCGAAAGATGGCGGGAAAGGCAGAGCTGTTTGGGTAGGCCCGCGACACCAGCCGCGGACAACCCTGGACCTGTAGAGCAGCACTGGCAAGCCACCAAGTGAAAGTCGGGCGCGACACCAGAAACTGGCTGGAGAGGCGCACCAGAAGAGAGGGACAAGCAGGAGGAGAGGTGGCTGAGACGCCTGACAACGCCATTAGCGACACACGCACACACACACACACACACGCACGCACGCACGCACGCACGCACGTACACACACACACACACACATACACACACACACACACTTTCTGCGTCGGCGGCTGAGCAGAGGTTGCCGCTCCGGCGATCGGGCATCAGTGGGGCGCGCTAGGTGCAAATTAAGCCGCAATGCACACGGGAAGCACACACACGCACACAAACACATACACCACCCTCCGCCCCCACTCCCCTCTTCGCCATCCAAATCCTCCTCTCCCATACGCCCCCCTAGTACTGCTCCACCACCTCCTCCCCATGCTACCCTCTTCTCCTCGACTCATCCCTCTTCCTCCTCTCGCTTCCTCCTGATCCTTCCTCACTCGCCATCAACATCATCATATCTGGAATCACCAGCCTAATTAGCATCCTGTTTAGCATCATCATCATCATCATCATCATCATCATCATCATCATCATCATCATCATCATCATCAGCATCATCAGCATCATCCTCATCAGCATCATCCTCATCATCCTCATCATCATCATCATCATCATCATCATCATCATCATCATCATCATCATCGTCGTCATCCTACTCCTGCTCCTCGTCC